TTAAACTGCAATGGCTGTAACAAATGAACAAGTCAGTCACCCAAAAGGAAATGGGACAGAAAGGCGGAAATAAAATATCTCTAGCACCTTCCGTGTCCATTTGCTGTTCCAAGGAACGTCGATAGCCATCATCAACTAAACACGACACATTTGACCAGGAAATTTTCGGACGGTCGATTCCTTGAACTCCATGCTGAGCAGGACGAACAACAGAAAATGGAACTTCAGTTGGTGAACCAACATTTCGATCGTCTGGACAGAAGCGGTGATCGGTTGGCCACGTCGGACGAAAGGCCTAGTCACAACGTCGAGATGGCTCCATCTTCTTTGTACTGTTCATTTCGCTGGCCATGCAGCTAGAGTTAAGAACCGGCCTTGACCAAGTAAGACAAGAAATCAGTGCCAACTTCGAAAACAATCCGAAACAAACTTGCAAACGACTGATGGTAATCGACCGGCAAATCAGCGACAAGCAACCACTGTTTTAAAGTTTACATTTAGTGGACGTACCACGAGAGTATCAGACGAAGACGAAGTCGACGAACAGCGACGGTAGGTCGTGGAGGTGGAACACGGGGTTTCGACTGCCGCGACCGCGGACGACGACTACACGAGACGAGGAGAAGCAGGCTGTGATGGAGGTGGAGGTTGGGACGTCTGCAGTGCAGTCTGCGATCACTCGACTCTGTCCGGCACCCGGTTGTCAGCTATATCTCTGTGAGGATCAGCAAGCGATTGCCGTCAACGGTATGATCGCGCGAGCGACTACTCCACCAGCGCTCGATGACGAAAGCCCTGCTCGGATTACGGAACGACTGACTGGCGGGCGAACGGCACGGTTTACTCGGTCGGTCGGTTGGTCGGTCGGTTGGTCGGTCGGTCTGTCAGTCGATGTGGGACAACGAGGCTTATTGGCCCAAGGTGCCCACGTGCCACCGAAGGTCCGGCGAATTATTAATTAGCTGACGAGAAAAATCGATTTCCAAAGCGTCCTCGTGTACCACCAACACCACCATATGCACCGCTGCCTCTGCCTCTGCCGCTGCCGCTGCCGCCGTCGCCGTCTCCATCGCCATCGCCATCGCTCGAACTCCTGACGCCGGGCGGGCGGGCGGGCGGGCGGACGGGTAGAGAATTGAGATTTTCGCGAAATGAATTTCATAAGGTGATTCAATTTAGTCCGACCGCAAGTTCACCCCTACTTTGCGGCCGTTTCTCAGGGGGCATCCAGCCGAACGCGTCTAGATTACGGTGGGTTCTTCGTTAGACGCGCACACGGACTCTTGTCTGACGGTCTGCGTCTGCCGATCATCAGACCGATAATTATAAAGTTTCGTCCTAAGGATGTATATGTGGCTTACGAAAACATTATATAGACTGTCAGAGGCTTCGACTCACCCTACTATGATTGTTGTGGGACAAGGAGTCCTTCTTTGCCCTAAGAACAACAACATATCTATCAACAACTGACCAGATGTTCCCCATCCCTTTCTAGCACCTACATGCCTATTCCTCAACAAAGTTTCCCTTTCCTTAGTTTTGGGACCCAAAAACAGGACTTGATAACAAAAAAGGTAAACCGGAAATACGAAGGGAAACAGTGCATGACTCATTGTAGCATGTCTACTGCGCACTGTCCTAAACCACGACGAACAGTCCGTTCTCAACACCGGCAGTCTTCGCTAAGCCATGGACTTTCTGCTATAAATCTTCGGCTAATCAGCTCTGTTTAAGCCTGTGTAATTTTCTTATTAATCCTTCCTTAAGCGGTAAGATGTTTGCATCGTCGAAAACACTCACTGTCCGCAGAGACACATGCGTTGTTTACCCGTGTTTATCAGAGCTACACCTCTTCAACCTCGATCCATCAATCAATCTGTGAGAAAATGCGAGGAAGCCATGAACCTCGACTTTGCCCCTTTCACCTAGGCTGCCGACGGATGCTCGTTGGCCCCTGTCCGCCGCGTCGTCTTCTGTCGTCCCATCGTTCGTCCGTTCGTTCAGAGACGTGGAAGGTTTCGACCGTTCGATCGCCGGCAAGCCTCCCTATCACCGGCTCCAATCTTCGTGTACTGAGAGTTGCCCAGATATCTTTCCGCGGCTCGTCGGCGATCGTTTTTTCGCTATCCTGTTTTCGTTCCGCATTTTTTTACCTGCCGTCCGCAGCGGTGAACGTCAATCATACCATGCCATCAGTATTATATGTACTCAAGATACAAACGGCGCAGCGACGTCCACGCGTATCGTCCTTCCATCAGCTCCATCGGTCCGACGGCTGCCAAAACGTCGCATCAAACTACGGTCCTCGTAGTCGGCATCACCGCTGTTTTTTGTGCCTGTCGAGGCACGTTAAACGGTACGTGTGAGTCGAATGGATTATATTATTATTGATGTTCAGGTTCACGAAGACGTTTGCGTCGAGAGC